AAAAAAAAAAAAAAAAAAAAAAGAAAAAAGAAAAAAGAAAAAAAAAGAAAAAAGGAATAGTCAAAATCCTACGTGTCGTACTTTTTCCTCCGACTTAATTTTTCCCAACTCGCATCGAATCCTTGGTTTAACAATAATTTCGTTACGATTAATGTATATAGTAATTATCGTTACATAATTGCTAGTAGAAGATACGAGACACGCTTGAAATTTTTTTCGTATTTTTTTTTTTCATTGAACAAGCGCACGCTTTTGAACATCATGATTGATGCACGATCGATCGAGTTTCAAGCAGTATAGTTGTATAGTTGTGCTTCGTTTAGGATTAACATTCTCTCTCTCCCTTTCTCTCTCTCTCTCTCTCTCTTACAACTAGTAAAACGTTGACGTACTTTCGAGTCAAGAGACGAATTTACGAATTAAGAAACACACGTGCTCGTAGTTTCTCGTTAAAGCTAGTATAGTTGTCAGTAAAATTTAATATAGTTGATAGTGGCAGCATACACTTGCTTCGACGTCGTCACATCCATATCGTGTCGACAATGAAATATTTTATATTTGGTAAAGGCTGATAATAATCGCCTGTCGTTAGTATAGTTCTTAACTATAGTTAATCGCCGTCGATATCGATTACGCAGTTCGAAATCAAGATTCAACCGATGGACAACACATCCTTCGACGATAAAAATATCACATTAATGCACCAGCAATAACATTATTGAGTATAGTTGATGGAAATGCCCGAACTACGAGGAGACGACTATAGTTGAATCTATATAACGCGATTAATAGTCGACCATGCAAAAAATTTCTTGTCGAATCGAATTATATGCGCGCAACTATGCTACATTTTCAATTTACTAGGTAACTATAGTGTAATGATCGACCATAGTTACATTTCTCTCAATGGTATCATCATATAAACGTTACTTCAATCAAAAAATGGCTAGCTTCAGCCTAATATTAAACTTTAAACAACTCCAAATCCTAACTATTGTCGATTAGGGAACAACTATAAATTAGATCGACCATACTTAATTTTAAGTTTTAATTTTCGTTTATGAACAGCATTTATATTCTTTTCGCAAAACACGTTTTCACTCGAATCGAAATAATGAGTCGAGACAACCATATACGATACAACAACTATACCCTTTCTCGATTGATCGCACGTTGTGTCGTTTGTGTATACGCGTTCTTTCTGCGAGAATATGTTGTGTGTGTGTGTGTGTATGTGTATGTGTATGTGTATGCCCGCGTGCATTTTCATTAATGCAAGTATAAATGTTAGTGTTAAGTGTTAGTAATAATAATAACAGCGGTAACAGGAGCAATAATAGTAATAAATAGTAGTAATAGTAGTAGTAGTAGTAGTAGTAGCAGTAGTAATAGTAATAGTAGTAGGAGTAGTGTAATAGTAATAGTAGTAGTAGTAATAGCAGTAGTAGTAGTAGTAGTAGTAGTAGTAATAGTAGTAGTAATAGTAGTAGTAGTAGTAAGTCGACCGGGTGCACATCCGACGAGGGCAGGTCCTACAGTGACAAATAACGACGGTATTGTTTTTTTTAAAAATTCTGGGACAATTTGTACAATTTGTCTTTCATTATATCGTGTCACTCCTGCGATCCTTTTGTCCATCATTTTTTTTTACCTTCGTTACATAATCCTTCAGACTTATTCGTATGCCTAGCAGCAGATGATAGTTCTAATATCTCACTATTTACTTATTCTCATTTTTTTTTGTTGTTTTTTTTTTTTCTTTTTTTTTTTACAGTAAATTATAGCAAATCAACTGTTACTATTTTGCCGACAGTTGATAAGTATGATCAAAAATTTTTGTACGTTTGGGTGTTAGTATTGGCAGCCCCGAAAATTTTGTTAGTCGATCGTTAAGACGACACTAGTATTTTCATAAATTGTTTTACAATAAAATCAATGCGTTTTTATATATTCCTTGTTATTTATAAATTATTTGCAACAATTGTAAAATAATTTCCACTATCATTCGAAGCTACTGTACAATATACTCACTTATTGCAATTTTATCACCACATTAATTTTATTCATTTCTAGAATTTCGAAAATCATCGACGAAATTTTGAAAACGAATTTTATATACATGGTGAAAAAAATATCGAATAATATCAAATAAATATTTTCCTAGAGACTAGAGAAATACTACTTTCACTAATTAATTTTTAAAAAATTGAGCAGTATTCTCACGCATCATTAAAATTCCAAATTTTGAATTACTGTAAAGATAGTAAGAAGAGGACCAATTTCACGAAAAAAACTTATTTCGATGATAAAAATTTCGAAACAATTCTATAATTTTTCAACAAAATTTATCTTTTTTTTTTTTTTTTACTTTTTTCATGATATTGGTCTCAAAGGGGTTAGTCAACGAAGAGATTCAGAAAGGATGAAAAATATAGGCAAGAATTTAAAAGATTAAAATT